AGTCACTACTGAAATATCACACTGAAGTGGCTATTTTATTGATCATGAAATTTGAAGAGGTTTGGTTTGATGATTGTTTTGTGATATTTATATGCAGAATGATGGTAAGAAAAACACAATGAAATGTTTTTCAATCAACTGAAGGTTTTTTGTTGTTGCAACATCCATTAGTAAATTTCCTTTACAACAGAGTATGTTTCAAATAACTTTGCTCCATTCATCTTCCACATCATTTTCTGTTTCTGGAAAAAAGACAGGAAACCTGAGCTATAAAAAGAGTAATAAATGCTGATTCAATAAATTATATGAATATTCAAGTAATATTTGTTGTTTCCACACGTAACAGGTTGGTCTAGCTGAAGATAGCTGAGGTGGAGTGTGCTTGACTGGAGCAAAGGTGACTCTGGAAATGTGAGCATTTGTTAAATAGTCTTGGCCTGTAAATCCGATGATTACAGGTTTTTTTAGGTAATTCAAACGTCAGTCCCTATATTCTAGGGATATTCTAAGGATTTCAGATGTTTCATATTGCTTTAGTTAGAAAAAAAAAACAGTAAGTGTTGGTTTTGAAAAAGAAAACTCTTTGCTTTCATAAATGGTTTGCTAACCTATAGGATTATGGTATTCATAATGAAATATACACCCTCTGATAGCCCAAAGGCTGGAATTCAAAATAAAATATTTTAATCATTAAAACAATTGAAAGAAGCAAAATTTGCAGCTCCAATTTACTACTTGATCCCAGGATGTATATACAAGATGCATTGTACAAACAAATGTCTAAGGAATTCATCATTACTGTTGCAAAAACTGCATAAAGATGAGGGTATGAGAGACATTTTGTACAGTTTATCATAAATGTGTTAAAAGTTTTTTTGTCTTATTATTGGAGTTCTCTTAATTTTGTATCTAAGGTTAACTGATATGGAGTGATGTAAAGTTCTTTCCAAATAAAATTAGTTTTTAATTATAAAAAAATTGGCTCCATTTCTTGTGTGCTGAAGGAGTGCAAGTGAATTTTATAGACTGTGTTCAAACTGGAGTTGACCAGCTTATCAAATTCATTGTTCAAACCCTTATCACTTTTGCACACTGAAGCATAAAGTTTCTTTGATGTGCTTGATACTTTTTTTTTAATTGACTGGGAGAGAGTAATGTATACTTATTAACTGGCAGTAATCTGTTGCCAAAATGATGGGATACATTTTGATCATGTTGTCATATGAGATTAGTTGTACTTCTTCAGGGAAGATATCATCTTTTCAAAGGTTCTCTCTCTCCCTCTCTCTCTCTGAACCAATAAAAATATGATAATCTCATTATTTGTTAAATAAAGAAAGGAAAGCCTTCCCTTCCATCACTTAAAAGACCTTGACTTCATGCCTTCTCCAGGTAATAATGTTCAGTCCCTACATTCTCTTGAAAAACTCTTCGACAGGCAATAATTGAAAATGCTTGACGCTTAGTGGTTAACTTTTGGAAATTACACCTTTTCCCTCAGATCCCTTGCATTTTTCTATCTTGA